CTCTCTCTCTCTCTCTCTCTCTCTCTCTCTCTCTCTCTCTCTCTCTCTCTCTCTCTCTCTCTCTCTCTCTCTCTCTCTCTCTCTGAGTGTGTGTGTGTGGCATAGCAGAGAGATGATGGTGCTAAAGCTCATGTTGTCAGTCGATAGCCTGCCCTTTCTCTTTCCCACCCTCCCTCTCCCTTTCTCTCTCTCTCCATCTCTTCACCCTTTCTCCACCACAGTTCAGACGCGCTTGCAACATGACCAAGCAAGTCTATCTGCTAGACTGTTCCTACTCCGCCAGGCTTGCTGAAGTCTTTCTGCCATAGCGCAGAGCTGAAAAAGGGAGGGGATTCTCTCTCCGGCAGGGACATGACTCGTGCAGCGAGATGTACCGTTTCCTTTCCGCCAGTCCTGCTCATGTGCACCTTGCGCTCTTACCCCCAGCCCAGCTCTCCGATACACCAACAACAACTGTCGTTGCCTATGCAGACCGCAAACCTCTATACTAAAAAATGGGCCGACTTTCTATCGCCAAAAATGACAGACCAAAAAACTCAGCTTCAAGTCTATCATTTGAAACGATGGGCGTTCCTTACACCTTTCATCCACTTTAATCTATCTATATGCCTTTTGTCCACTTTATCTATACTCCTTTCACCCACTGTATAATCCATTTATAGTCATAGAGAACTGCCTGGTGAACCGAAGGAAGGCAGAAAGGGACAAAGCGACAAAAGAACCGGGGAGCTGAAACAGACTGTTTTGCTGGGACATCGGCCAACGAACTCATCAATGAGGAGGCTGAAGCCCCTGAAGCCACTGAAGCCACTGAAGCCGCTGAAGCCGTTGAAGCCGCTGAAGCCGCTAAACCCTATTTAACTGTCTTTCTCTCACTGTTTGCTTGGCTGGCTGCCTGGCTGACTTCTTGTCGGTCTGTTTGTCTGTGTGCCAGCCACTTTGTCACGCTAAGTATCAGTCAGCAATCTCTACAAGAGATCTGAAGACATGCAATGATTGCTCCCCACCTGTTATTTCCAATCACCATCATGAGCACCATATATATTCCTAAAAAGGTAAGAAGAGAAAACAACTTCAAAGTTCAAACAAGTAATGGAAACCTCCTGTGGAATGACCAACTCCTGTGGTCCTGTCATGGTCCCTCTGCCTACTCTATGGTAAAATGACAAAGGGAGAGAGAGGCCAGAAAGCAACTAACCCTGTGGAATGACCAACTGTATGAGTCTGCTGTCTAAGAGGTTAACTCATTGAGGAATAAATCCTCAAAATGATACTCAAAATGATACTCAAAATGATATAAAATAATAAAAGTTAGTGTAAAAATCATCTTCAGAATAATTCTAAAAAGTAACCTGACCCCAAATATACCTACTTCCTGTGAGCGATGACAGTATATCCTCGTCAAATAAGTAATGAAAACTACAAGTTTCCAAAAAGGGAAGGATGTTGAAGAAAGATTCTGAAAGATCCTCCAAGATTCCGAAAGATCCTCCAAGATTCTCAAAGATCCTCCAAGATTCTCAAAGATCCTCCAAAAAAAAACACTACTGAGTCCTGACTAACAGAGAATATCTTTGTCAGGAAAATGGCAGTGGTCAAGTCTACCGCTGTGTTATCTCTCCCTGTGCGGTGTGATACTCCTATCCTTTCCCCTTCCTTCTGTGTATGTATGGGCATACCTGGAAGTCTCTGTGAGTGAGTGTTGGTCTTCAGACAACAGACAACCAGAATCATAACATAGGGGATTGATAGGGGATTGATAGGGGTTGGTAGGGGGTTGGTATTCCTCAGAGACGAAAACACACCACTTTCTGTGTTGCCGTCACTTCTTGGGAGTACCATTTTTAGCATAAATACTAAGTAGTATAATTTGCATAAGTAAATATGGTTATATGGTACCCCAGCCTCACTCTTCTCAATTCTAAGTGCTAAAAATAACTCACATAGAGGCTGGGCACTTTTCCTTTCGTGGAGATTTAAGAAAAAGAGAACTGTTTGGCTTGGTTTCTCTCCCTCTTCTCTTCTCCCTACCACCACCTTCTCCCCCCCCCTCCCTCTACTTCTCCTCTCCGCCACCACCTCCTTCTCAACTCCTTCTCCCATCGCCAACTCTCTCTCTCTCTCTCTCTCTCTCTCTCTCTCTCTCTCTCTCTCTCTCTCTCTACAAAATAAGAATAACATGAAGATGAGGAGGATGTGGAAGAGAAGAAGAAGCAGAATGGAAGTTTCCTCTCTCTTTCTCTCTCTCTCTCTCTCTCTCTCTCTCTCTCTCTCTCTCTCTCTCTCTGCTTGCTATAGAGAAGTCCTCCTCAAAGTCACACTTCCACTCTCCCTAGTCTTTAGCAGCTTTGTTACCCTCACAACAACCTTTCCACTTTTGGAATGGAAGCTTCCATTTTTGGAAAGGAGGCCTCCATTGGTGCTATTGCTCCCGCTGCTGCTGCAGTTGATGATTCCACCGCTGAGTGTATTACCCTGGTTTTGCTCCTGCACCGCCCCATTCCCTAACGAGAGAGATCGAGGCATGCTAACTGTTGCGATTTCCTCCCGATTCTGCGTCTGGGCGATCGACGGCTGCACGCTTCTTATAGATTCCATGGATAAGGACCGCGCCATCTTCGCAGCCGCTGCCGCCGATTCCGTCACACTGCACTCCTCCGCATCCTTCTGCGGAAACATGGCATCAAACTTCCGCTTGTTTTGGATGTGTCGGTTTATATCCTGCGCGTTGTGCACGGTAAGTATTGTTCACAAAATAAGTTTTTCTTTTTTTTTGAAACTTTTTTTCTTTTTTTTGGAGAAATTTGCAATTCTGATTTCAAATTTCAAAGATTTTTAATTTTTTTTTCTGAGGCCAGGGTCCTCACTGACTCCTGACACTGTTGACAGTCTCTCTGATATGAAATTTTATTCAAAAATTCATAATATTCTAGCAATGCTAGCATTCAGTCATGAAATATGCTTATCTTTAAGGCTCTCCCAATGCTGGAGAACTGTCTGCAACACACAAGCTTCACATCAGACATTAAGAAAAATCAAGAAACAACAACAAGAAAAATAAGCAAAACTCCAATGCCCTCTTGTTCACATTCATTGGTTTATAATACTTTATATATATATATATATATATTTTTATGGAGAAACTGTCGACTATCAGAGTACAAAACGCACGCCGTTTCTGTATTGTCGGTGACTTGAAATTTTGACTTTACGACGTTTCTGTATATAATATAAATTGAAGTCTATATGTATATGCAGAATATATAATATATATCCATCATACATGTATGTATAATATTATATACTATATACTACATACTAGTACATAGTATATATAGTCTATACTATATAGAATATGACATAGTATATATAGTCTATACTATATAGAATATATAGTATTTTTATATTCTAATAGAAAGTTCTATATTCTAACTCCCTCCTACTATAGAATTTTATCTGTAAGGCTTTCACAACAGATGCTCCCAATACGTCTCATCTGCAAAAAAAACCGTAAGAGAAATGATGCTCTGTTCGATGATGCCTATCTGACCAAACCAACCATCACGATCATCATCAACAACAACAACAACAACAACAACAACAACAACCGCAAGTATCATAACCACCACCACCACCACCACCACAACCAAAACCACGACCACGGCCACGACAAGAACAACATCAACGACAACGACAACGACGACGACGACAACAACGACGACAACGACGACGATGACAACAACGATGACAACGACGACAATGACGACAACAACGACAACGATGGCGACCACGACAACAACGACGACAGCAGCAACAACAACAACGAAAACAACAACGACAAAGACAACGACAACGACAACGACAGCGACAACGACAACAAGCATAGTAACCATGACAGTGTCGGCAGCAACAACAACAGTGATGATGACACGAAGAACAACAGAACGCTCACGGTCTGTTGCAATCAACGTACGGAAAGGTGTTGCATACATGTCACAACATTCATGCATGCAGACTGGCCAGAGACCATTTTAGCTCTCCTCATACTCACTCTAGCACTTTCGGGACTAACACTGGCCATAAAACACAGTCCCATCAATCCAAAACAAAAGGTGCTCGGTCTGAGTACGGCTCACGATTGAAGATGCTCAGCTTTGGGCTTTGGTAACCTGCGGCGCCCGAGCAACCTCGTCACTTTCCATCATCATTGCCGTTGATGATGCCTGCCACACTTTCCGGCACGGGTGGGTGGTATGAACTTGGGGACTTGGAACTCAGGAAATTCATTGGGAACTTGGGCGACCCGGAACTTGGGACAATGGGAAGGACCTTGGGAAACTGGGAACCTGGAACACGGGAAGGAAGGAAGGAACTTGGGAACTTGGGAAGGACAGCGTGGGAACTTGGAAATTTGGGAATTTTGGGAATTTTGGGAATTTGGGAATTTGGGAATTTTGGGAATTTTGGGAATTTTGGGAATTAGTCCGAATTACTATTCCGAGTTAGGGAATTTAGGAAGAAGCACAGAAACTTGGGAATTTGGGAATTTGGGAATTTGGGAATTTGGGAATTTGGGAACTCGGGAACGAACTTGGAAATAAATTGGGAACTCGAGAAGGGGCTCGGAAGCTTGGGAAACCTGGAACTTTGGAAACTGGGAACTTGAGGAGGAGCTTTGAGACTTGGTGAGGAGGAGCTTGGGAACTTGGATAAGGTATTGGGAAATAGCGAACTGGGAAATAGCGAACTGGGAAGGAGCTTGGGAACTTGGGAACGGACTTAGGAAGGGGCTTGGGAATTTGGAATATGGAATTTGGGAAGCAATGGAACTCAGAAACTTGGAACTTGGGACTTGGAACTTTGGAACTTTGGAACTTGTGAAGGAAGTTGGGAACTTTGGAACTCTGGAACTTTGGAACTTGTGAAGGAAGTTGGGAACTTTGGAACTCTGGAACTTTGGAACTTGTGAAGGAAGTTTGGAAGTTTGGAAGTTTGGAAGTTTGGAACTTTGGAACTTTGGAACTTGTGAAGGAAGTTGGGAAGTTGGGAACTTGGGACCTTGGGACCTTGGGAGCTTTGGAACTTTGGAACTTTGGAACTTGGGAACTTTGGAGGTGATGAAGAACTTCGGTACTTGTTACCTGTAGCGTTGTCCGGCCCTCGATGCATGTTGGATCGTCATCAATAACACTGAAGGGAGACAAGGAGGTGGTGCTGATAATCGATTCTTGACCGCTCTCATTACCCGATGACGCACGTGTCGACTGATGAGCCCCTGCGGAAGGGATGCGATCCATCGTCAAGCTGGTGGCTATGGTGTCTTCACAGCTCTTGTAGTTCTTCTCGAGGACTTGAAGTGGAGCAGGATCACCATAGCTGATGGGAGGCCCAAGAACCTCCAGCGGCAACATAGACCCTGAACCAACACGACAAGAGAGAACATATTTTTAGGAAAGTGCAGAGAAAAAAGAGCCCGTTCTAAAACCTAGCGAAAAGTGTGACAAAAATAAACATTTTCAAACCTTTTGGCCTATTGTCCCTACCGACCGTTTGAATAAAAAAAGGAAAAAAAAAAAAAAAACTTTTTGATATGACCCCTTACTAAGCGCAGGAAAGATAAATAAGGAGGGGTCAATATGGCGGGAACCCCTTGCCATGGGGCTTATTACATTTTGCCATAGGTTCACAAACCATGGGTAGCAAAATGAGGGGTCCATAAGGGATACACCTGGGAGGTAGGAGGAGCTCCTGCAGTGAGAGTTGAAGTTGTGATACACGCATGTAGTCATTTTTCCGAGACGTGGGAGATGTCTTAAAATGGTTGAAGCCAACAAAAAAAACGTCAAAAAAGCCCATCAACAAAGCCGACAACATCGACAACGAAAAACAAATGAATGATTACTTATTTAACTATTTATTTATTGTAGATTGCTTAAACCACAGCTACATCGGAGGCTCCACGGTGCTGCAAGCCACAAAAAGCGAATTGGTGTGGGCCCCGGGCGCCCTTTTCCTTCTTTTTGACTGGTCGCACCACCCGTTTTGCTCCAAACTACCGTCTTCCCCCGAACACAACACACCCTGACTTTGTCTGTACTTGACCGGAAACATAGCTTGTTTACATTCGTTAACAGGGTGCGTTGTGTTTGGGGGGAAGACGGTAGCCCTGATCCCCTGCGCTTTTCGGACATACGTTTGCACTGCACGATTTTTTCGCCTGGGCCTCATCGCCACCCGCCAAAGAGGTTTGCAACTTTGACAAGTTTGCACTGCGCGAGGTTTAAGCCACCACTACCTTTCGCAGGGAAACTTTCGCGACGACCTTGTAGACCACCGCATTCTCTGCGCGCTCGACTTCCCAAACCTCTTTGGCTGGTGGCGGTGCGCCGGCCAAAAAGAAGGGCGAAAAAAAGAGAAGAGAGCCATGCGCGTTCGTCTTCAACTTGGCGCGGGGCATGCATCCGCCACCTGGGAAAAAAAAAAAGAAAAAAAAAAAAGGCTTGGACGTATTGGTGGTTTAAAGTTTAAACCATTTAAGCCACCGGTACATGCCATACATCGGCCGCGGGCGTGTTTCAGAGGGCCGTAACGCAATGCCGGCCGCAGATTTATCTTATCGACGGCGCGCAGGGTCCAACTTTTTCGGAGTAGGTAACGAACAATTCTCCACAAGGCTGGGGCCATGTACTACCGTCTTCACCCGAATATCGGAAGTCAGGACTTCGATGACCCACCTGCATTCAGTTGTCCGGACTCGATCTGAGATCTGCATGGTGCCGCGATGTCGATTCGCTGCTCGTGCCGCTCACAGGGCCTCTGCTGCTCACGCCGCTTTTCCTGTCCCTTACGCAGCTGGCATTGGGGATTGGCACTGGCAGTTGGAGGACTCTTGGTCAAGAAGGCACTGACGTCTGGGCCGCAAACGGAGGCGGGGTGTGCAGCAAGACCCCTGTTCATCAGAATGCTTGCAATGGTCATAGATGGGTCCTGTAGCGGCGACTGGCCTCGACGTTGCCCCACGATCAGACCGTCGCTCGTCAGAACTCTTGCCAGACTCTCATTTGCCAGAGCGCACATCAAGCTCTCGTTCGAACACCTTCGATCGCTCAACGGACTGCACGCGAGGGGGTTTTGTCTTGGATTGCCAGGCTCGCAGGGTAGCGTTGTTGTCGTCGTCAACACCGCTTTGTTGTCCGCGGCGCGAAGAGGACGCATGGCGATCGAAGAACTCTCATCTGTTTCCGCGGAGTCGCACTCGCCATCTTCGGCGAACAGCGGACTGTCCATTCTGAGAAACTGCTTGACCTTCGCATTCTCGTCTGCGATGTGCAGAGATGAGTGGGGCCGATAGCAAACAGACAAACAAGTCGAAACGACGGACAGATCGAGAGATCAAATCCATCCAAAGCAGGAATCAAAATTTGAACCCCCCCCCCACAAAAAAAAGCACCGTCACAACTTAGGCAACCTTTTCTGAGCCGGAATGTAGACATACTCCTGTCCAGGTACATCAAGGAAATGCGATTACAGTTCAGTACTCCCTCCCTGAGCCATGGCGCTTACTAACCATCCCACCTGGAAAAAAAAAAAAAGCGGTTAAAAAGAAAAGAAAAGAAAAGAGTAGATGATTCATTGTACCATTGGGCCATCACCCCAACATGGGCCCATCAAATACAACACATGTTATGATATTAAATAATGAAATTATTAATATATTATTTATATATATATTAAATATATATATACTAAATCCTCACTGATTTTAAGTGATTTATCAACTCAAAAAGTGCACTTTGCAAAATAAATGAAGAAAAAAAGTGCACTTCACAAAATAAATGAAGAAAAGACTCAAAAAAGTGCAATATGCCAAACAAATGAAGAAAAGAGCAGACAGCATGGAAGAGAGCCTACTCACTCACACTAGGGCTGTTGTGTATATCATGGAAATGTTATTTTGAATTTTTGCCTTTTTGCGGTGCAGTTCTTTCTTCTGCCTGTTTTTCTACGGTTTGTTTTTTCTTTCCTCTTTCATCTCTCTCTCTCTCTCTCTCTCTCTCTCTCTCTCTCTCTCTCTCTCTCTCTCTCTCTCTCTCTCTCTCTCTCTCTCTCTCACACATTACTGTACCTGTCAGGTGCAAGGCTCGCCACGACAATGCATCGCACGCCATCGTCGATGTGCAAGAAGAGGAGTTTGATTGTTTGTTAGGGTGGGAAATGAGATGAGCATGGTTGTGGCAATGGGTTTGGGACAGTGGGAACATGAGAGGAATGTGGGACAGTGGGACAGTGGGACAGTGGGAGAGTGGGACAGTGGGACAGTGGGACAGTGGGAACAGGAGAGTCTGTTGGCAAACGAGACCGTGGAGGTGGGCGATTGAGAAGGCGAGGAGGAATGCAGCCGTCCGCAGCTCCATGCCCAAGCACAAAAAGAAGGGAAAACAGGGGAGTGGAGTTGATTGAGCAAGGGTTGATGATGGCGATGTGAGCATGGAAAAAGTGACGGAGCCTACGACGTTGTCTGCACCGGTACAAAGACCAAGGTCGACGGGTCACCTGATGAAACCGTTATGCAGCCGTCCACGACTCCACGGCCAAGCACAAAAAGAGAGGAAAGCAGGGGAGTAGATAGAGCAAGGTTGGTGATGAGCGATGCGAGCATTGATTCGAAAAAGCAACGGAGACTGCGATGTTGTCTGCGCGGGTACTAAGAGGAAGCCGGAGGGGTACCAGCAGCAGACCAGGGTCGACAAGTCACCTGATGAAACCAAAGGGTTTGTCACTGCCAGAGGAAGCCGGAGGGGTACCAGCCCCAGAGCAAATTGCAGCAGAGGAAACTGTAGCAGCAGAGAAATGTTTTTTTGATGATCGGGCCATTCAAAACATCTTAAAAAAAAAAAAAAAAACATCTAAATCTATATATGGTATGGAAAACCGCGTAAGGCCGAAAGCCTCCCATAACCTACACCTTTGATTCTCACTTCAACTGACTGAATTCCTAATGGAATAGCAGCGGGCGCTACATTGTCAGCATGGTTCACCTGTTAGCCAATGAGTGTGCTTCCCAGCCACAACCAGTGCAAGCTCATTCATGTTCATTGGGAGGATTGGTAGATGGTGGAGAGTCGACTCCTGGCTCCAGCGACTGGTACAGCTATGCGCTTGGTTCGGGCACTCAGCCTCCTCTGCCACTTGGTTCGCATATTCGCTATTCATCGACTTCATAACCAGCGGCTTCCGTTTGTCCGAACTCCGACTGCTGTAGCCGTTCCCTCGGTCATCGTCGCCGTATTGCAAAAGACCACTGAGCGCCCGTGCAGTCGCTACAAATTGGCCATGATGATCGCTACCATATTCGGCTGCTGCATTGCGAGCCCACATCAATTTGGTGTTAAGATCATGATTCTTCAGATCGCTAGCGAGGAAAGGGATCGCTGACGACATCCCCGCCGCTGTAAACACAAAGCAGAATAGAGATGCCACGTCGGACACATCCAAATGCACCGGAGCCCCAATCAATATCAATAATAGATGGGTAATCAACTCCCGTACGGTCAGTATCCGCCGATTTGGACCTTACGATTTAGTTTCAATGGCAGGCAGGAAGTATAACAAACAGCGTACGTTCGCGCGCTTCCCCACATATAGTATAATATAAAATACGGGTTAACTGTAGGACGCTTTGACCCGAAAGTGACTCCAATTCGCCAGAACAGGCTCAACTCTGTAAACATCAGCGGGCTCACACTGTATTCTTGGGCAATCTTATTTTATTTATCAAGCTAGCGACGCAAAAACCTCAACAGCGCTTTTGGAACATGCTATGTTTTCTCTTCCCTTGCGGGATTGTGACGAGTCCCATGCCCTACGCAACGCAAATTGTGCAATATTTTTTTGCCAATAATATTATGTATAATCAAATTTCCACAAACCCGCCAATCAAAAGTATAACTGAATTGAAAACAAAGTTAACAAACAAACCAAAAAAAAAAAAACTATAATAATGTAATCGAAATTTGAAACATTAGACCATCGGGTGTGAATCAGACATCGGTTTCAGTACTTCTCGCTGAGAGGACCAACACCTTGCCACTCTAGCAAGCCTTCACATCATCTCGCATTTCTCACCGGTCTCAGCCCTGGGGCCTCAACTTCCTGTCATTGCCTCGGGCCCTCCTTTCTTGAGGCAGAAACCCCTTGGGAGTGTAGCACAATTTTAGAATGTAGCAGAGTCAACAACTTGGTGGGGGGGTAGAG